CACAGACACACAGACACAAGCTATGCGTACAGTGAAATCGAATTAGGCGCAATTGTTATTAAAACTAGGTTTTCCTTTTTTTGCGCATCATTATGATTAATATTATTATTATTACGAAGATTATTTTTTCAAATTTGTTTCCAAAATATGGTTACTTTTATACACAGAAGTGTTGGGCATGAGATTTATGCCGCCCAGGGCCGGCCCTGTTTATTGAGTAGGAATAAATGCCACATTATTTGGATGATTTAGAGCAAAGTAAAAAATTTCAATTTTTATAAAGAACTTTCAAACTATTTTTCAAAATTATGCTGTTAAGTTAAAAGCAATATGCAATTATTTTGCGACCCTTTAGCTTCACTGTACCTTGTTAGCTGCGCCTGACCCAAATATCCCCTGCCTAAGCACTGATACACACATACACTCACACACAGGAACAACAAAACACTGCTGGTGCTCCCAAAATAGTATAAACGAAAACTGTTGCAATGGAAAAAAAAAGAAAAACTTTGAATAGTAATAGTAGCGTTTGTTGTTAATAGCTCATTATACAGAAAGAAAAGAAAATCATACAAATTTTACATAGTTGTTAATGCTATGTATATATGCATATGTATATAGATATATATATATATATGAAGGATGACCCAGTTTTGGGGCCAAACGCAACTAATACATTTACCTAAGCCTTTCATTACATGCTGTTTGTCAACAATTTAGCCAAAAGCAATCAAATAAAATTCTAAATCTGCCAACGTGAAATGTAAATGAATAATAAGAACAACAATCAAGTACTTCAGAACATTCTACGTAAAAATTACAAAATCGTAAAGAAAAGCAAAAAAAAAAAAAAAAAGAAAAAAAAAGTCGAAGAGAAAAGCTAAGCAGAATACCTGTTTATTAATATACAATTATTAAAATAATTATAACTAAATTGTAAATGTAATTTTAACATATTGAATTTTAAGAACTAATTTCTAATGTAAAAAAAAAAAAAAAAAACTGAAACTGAAACTAAAAACATTTTGAATTTTGATCAAAATCTGCCGTCTTCGGCTCTATGCTCGTTCGCTCGCTCGCAAAAAAAAAAAAAAAAAAAATCAGAAAATAAAAATTGAAAAACCCTTGCAGAAGTGTTATATACACATATATTCTACCAAATGCAGATATAGTTATAGATTATATAGAAGTAGTTTGATCTCTTCGGCTGTTGTTCCCTAAGAGCCTTAAAACTGCCTGACTATTTGGTAAATACTTATAAACGAGATTGGTTATACGTTAATTATCATCTGCAAGGGTCTAAACAAATGTGCGTGTGGCAATAAAAAGCAAAATGTTTTTCATTTCATTTACAAATTGAAAGCACTTCTCGTTTTATTCGGGTAGCAATTAATAATAATGAACCTTAGTAGAAAATATACATGAGAATATTGTTTTAAAAAAATGAAACGTGTATTTTACTTACTACTGGAATATAATTGTAAGGAACAAACGAGTATACTATAAATTCAGAATGAATAGAAAAAAATGAAAGGGAAATAAATGGAAATGAAGGGTTCGCCATGCCATTCAATTGAATGCGCGGGTTTTTGAACTCATATCTTTTTAATCGATATTTATTTCGTTCTGAAACATAATTCTGAGTAATCGATGATAGTGTGTTATTTGAGTAACTCACGGAATGTAAACACTCGTTGATTGGCACCACTGGTATTTGTTATTTAAACAATTATCGATATTTTAGTCGATAAGCTCTCACACCTCTAGCTTAGTTCATTTTTTGTGGTGGTTAACATACAAATGTGCTGCGTGCTGAGTTTTAACTGGTGTCAAGCGTATTCATATTTAATATCTAAATTGCTCCGACGCAGTAGAGTCTATTAGGCAACTGGATCGTATCTTAATTGTCTTGGCGGACCGTCGCAACGCCAAGAAAGAGGGACTCGGCACACAGATTAACCAACGCTACATACAAAGACCCACACACACACGAAGAAGCGTGCGTGCTAGTGTGTGTGTGTCKACGTACGTGTGTATGTTTCAGTGTATTTGTATGTGTCAGTGCGTGCTGCTGTCGTCGTTGTCGCTGCTAAGAGGAAGCAGAATCAGCAGCAGAAGTCAAAGGCCGTCGGTGGACTCGAAAAAGGAGTCCAAAAAGTTTTAGGGAATCGCAAACGACTCGACGGAATGCCGCACCAATAATATAATTGCAATAATCGTATCAACAATAACAACAAACACAACAACAATAGCCAGCGATCGATCCCGTGCCCACCATCCCACAACCCACACATAGACACACAGAATGCAGCAACAAGAATCCGGGGGCGAGGAGAGCTGGTTCGAGGAGCAATGCCATCGAGAAATCACCGGCCAGAATGATGAATACGAGCGCGAGTTTGTGCGTCAGAGCGATAACAATTTGAGCACCGTCTGGGGCGCATTCCAGGACTCGGCCACTGCAGTGGCGCAGCTCTATCGCGGTAAGTGGCCCCAAGCGTCCAGTGCATCCTTGTGGTAAAGTTCTGTTCCCTCTTCGCCTCTCCGAGTCAATTTTGTTTATGATAGACTCTGCTACATTTCTATTCGACGTATAATATCACATGCATACACATATATACACATGCATGTACACATCCGTGTGTGTGGGTGTGTGTGTGTGTGCATAAAAATAGTTTGGATGAGCATATTAATAGCGACCGTGCAGCCTGCCTGTCAGGCAACAACAATAATAATAACAACAACAACAAGTGCATGTATACAACAGGCCCGGCTTTTAAGCTCTAGCCCAACGCTTGTGTATGTGTTTGAAAGTTTGTTGGTGGCGCTGCTGCTGCTGCTCTTGCAGGCATCATTCACACGCCTTAAAATTCTCCACATTTTCTATTCTCCCCATATTCGTTTGCAATCTACGCATTATCAAACTGCAGCAAAAGGGCCTGCAATGCAATAGATGTGTGTCTCTGTCATGAGTTCGGTTTTTGATGTTCCTCTTTGAATGTAGGAAAGAAAAAAGAAAAAAAAACACGAACGAGGGGAAAGCAGAAACGTAATAACATTTGCGCTGCGCAGCGCAGAGCAACAAAAAACATCATTTGATTATCCTTAGGAATTGACATGATACTCTCTAGATTTTCCATTTATTTATTATTATTTTTGTTTAACATAGCTAAATGTTTTTTGTAAAGTATCTCTTTGCATGAGTATGTATATACATATATGTACATATGTATGTACATATATGTGTGTGTATGCATAAATATAGTGCGTCATTTACGAAAAAAAAAAGTAGCATTTGACAAACAGCTGTTTTGACAATCGATGCTGAGAGTGGAAGCTGATGCTGCGGCTGCTGACGTCGCAGTCGCCGCCTCCGCCCTAGCGGCATATGTATATGTATATGTATTTGCCTCTTCTCTTCACTCTCATTTTTTTGTTATTATTGTTATTGTTGTAGCTGCTGCTGCTAGTTGAACCCAAACGTTTCTAATGCTCCTTATTTCCGTTTCTTTTGATTGCAATACATATGTATATGTATATGTATATGTATATATAATCTGGTTTCTACTGCTATCTCGCTTGCACTCGCTCACTTGCCCGCCGCATTGTCGTCATTTGCTATTGCCGTATGCACTGCGGATCAATAACGGCAAGTTGCTTTTTGGTCCTTTTCCCTGTGCCTTTTGTACATGCAGCAGCAGCAGCAGGTGCTGTCCATTGCACAGAGAGTGAGATAGATAGAGTGAGACAAGAGAACAATTTCCCTAGGCGATCTTTCAGTCTGGATATTTATTCATTCTCGCTGTTATTTGATATAGAATAAATAACCAACTGATCTAAACGAAAACAATTAAAAAACTGAATAGCTTGCAAATTTACAAGCCATTGTTTATATATGAATATAAGCATAGATAGTATGGTATATATATATATGATGTTTGATATATAAACAACTGAACTAATTGTGCATAAAAAAAAAATTAATACTTTGATTTTTTGTTGGTATTTTTGGAGAATCAATGCCTAAAAAATACTTAAGAATTTATAATAAACAGAAAATATTATTTTAATGGATTTAAATTACTGAGGAAGTAATGAAACTATTTAGAGCATAAAATAATTATAATAGTCGATTTTACTATTTATTTAGTTTATTAAATATAATACGCATTAATTGAAAATATATTAGGCTATGAGATTTTAATTATTGTAGAAATTAATTAAACAATTTAGAGCATGTGGAATGATGAATTTAATATTAATAATAGCATTACCTACTCAATAATAATGCAGTTTCCTGGGTTCATTTTGTTTTTATTATCTGCAGAGCGCTCTTCCAACACATTTTCTTCAGAGACTGGGGCACTGTGGCTGCCTTTTCAGACCGCAGCTGGCACTGTGACAACACTCTACAAAGGTGAGCAGCGAACCTACCGACTGACGACTGATTTGGCTGCTGCCCTCCCAGGCTTGCATATAATATAATAATATATGTATATATTCTAGAATCATGTGATGGTCTCAAACGCACCAGCGACGCTGCCATACAATGCGGCTACCAAAGACGCACACGCGAATTGGCCGATTGGGCGCGCAGCAAAAAACGACGCATGATAAGGCGAGAGGATCTGCTGGCGTATTTAGCCGGAAAGCCGCTGCCAACACAACCAACGAATCCACATGCCAATCGTCGGTGAGTCCGACATCTAGGGCCGCCGAGCACATCCATTGAACTAATTTTTACTCTCACTCTCCCTCTCTCTCTCTCCCTTACTCTGGCTGTCTCTATCGCACAGGTCGCCTAAGCCAGAGCACCATCAATGTGGTGGACTGCATCACCATCAAGTGAACAGTAGCAGCAATAGCGTCACTGGCCCGGCGATAGGCTTTGCCAGCAACGGACTGAACATGATGCCACCCACCGTCGGCGGACAGCCAACGCATTTGCTTAGCGCCGCCGGTGCTCAGGCCTCAGTGGGCTCCACTGGCGGCATCGGAGATGATCTGCACACCTTCAAGGAGGCCTTGGTTTTGCGTCCACGGTAATTATTTCCAAATATGTTGAATAGAGGCGTGCCCAGACTGTAGAAGAAGCCTGCAGTTTGTCATGCATCAATATAGATTACTTTCCAAGTATATAATCACTTGTATAATGAAGAGAGCATTGCTTATCA